GAAGCCTTCCGCACTGCACAGGATAAACAGACTGTGACTAAAGACCACGAGGGCGCAGTGGGTCACTCGGACTTCCTGGCCTCAGTCTAACAAGATCCCAGCTCCAGGAAGAAACTGGGGGGACCAGGAAGATCGCACTGACCTGTGGCATCCTCAGCCCTGTACTATGGGGCTGACATTGTCCTCGTTTCACAGACAAGGAAATGGGTTTGGGGAAGGCATGTCTGGTTCCTACTCACTGAGTGCTCAGTGCTGCAGTGAGCCGAGGCTTCTGGGCTTGGAGGACACTCTTCTCCCAACCACCACCCAGGCCCAGACCCCCCAACAGCCAGAGTCCTGGCCATAGCCCCTCCTCACCTTCCCTGAATCTCCTGGCTAGGGGGATCAGGAGGGACATCTGATCCAGGTCATGCATCTCCCCAACTTCACCTCCCTCTTGAAGGCTCATGTCTCCAGAAGGCCCCTGCCTACCTGCTACAGATTCTAGGGTGTTGGAGTCCCCCACAGGAGTCCTCACTTGTCCACCAGACCCTGTTCTAGAAGAGGAACCAGCTGGCTATGCTGGCTGTGTGTGGGAGGAGAGACAGCTGATATACCGCCCTGGCCCAAGCCCTGAGGGTGGGGGCCTTGACTGATCCAGTGTGGGGAAGGGAAAGGAGATGGGCAGCTACACACCAGGGATTAGGCCTGGGGAAGCCTGGGGAAGCCTGGGGGGGGGGGGTCTGGCAGAGACAGAGTTGGAGGTGGCTGCTGAATATCTGGTCCTGCACGGCCTCCAGAGCTCACACGAAACCTACAACCTGGAGCCTCTTCCTTCTATCATGTCCTAGACCCTTTCCATCCCAGCCCATTGCTACATCTGCTCTCAGTCCATCTCCTGCAGGGAGGTCTGGAACAGAGAGAGGCAGAATCAGCTCTTGCTTGATCTGGTCCTTCCTCAAAGCCCAAGTCACTGGCAAGACTCAGGGATCCACCCTCACAGGGGTCCACCCTCACAGGGATCCACCCTCACAGGGGTCCACCCTCACAGGGGTCCACCCTCACAGGGGTCCATCCTCACAGGGGTCCACCCTCACAGGGGTCCATCCTCACAGGGGTCCACCCTCACAGGGATCCACCCTCACAGGGATCCACCCTCACAGGGGTCCACCCTCACAGGGGTCCACCCTCACAGGGATCCTCCTAGAGCTGTGGATGCACCTAGAGAAGAGGCCTCACTGGCACTGGACACAGGGTTGATGGTGAGCACTGGCAGAGAGAGTTAAATGGCTTATTCTCCCTCCACACTGCACACACAACTGAAGATCTGGAACATTCCTCCCAAACTCTCTGTGCTTCACTCACGGCTTCCCTTTTATAACCACCGATGCATTCATGGGCCAAATATTGCTAGCAATCCACGGAGTCTGCTTAAAGGGCAAAGGAATTTATTAGAGAAGGGAAATTCACTATCCAGAACAGAGGAATTATTGCAGGGTCCTGGAAGGCTGAGGCACAGTCCCACGCTGTTCTTTCACCTGGTCTGTCTTCAGTGTCCAAAACCACAGGGAGAGAAGAGAGAGAGTACCGCATATGTGCATCCCAGGTCTTAAGGGTCCCCAGGCAGCCACGCCCCAGCAGCAGGTACTTCAAGGTCACAGGCAGGTGTAACAGTTACCTGCTACCTCACTAGGGGCGGTGCTTCAAGGTCACAGCTAGAACAGCTACCCACTACAATGCATGCTTCGTGCTGCCCAGGGGTCGCTGAAGTCAGTCCAGGGTAGTACTGTTCTGCATGCCCAGGTCCTCCCATCTCCCCCTACAGGCTCCCTCTGGCACCCCCTGCTTCATGTGGGGTCCTCCTTGCCAAGCTGTGAATTGCCTGGCCCTTCCAGGGCTCCCGAGGAGCTGTGAGCACAGAGCAGCCTGGCTCTGGGTCTGGAAAGGATATGTGGTCCCCTGAGGAGATCCCATTCACTTTGTAGCCCTTTCCAAGCTGCTCTGTGCCCTGCCTCCAGCCTGGATCCTACCTCTACTTCTGCTGTTGTTAGGCCCAGCTCCTCCAGTTCCTAGAAACAAGGGCCCAGTGTGGCCTTGAGGACTCCATCCCCAGGACAGAGGGAGACCAGAGCTGTGTCCTGTACATGGAAGGTCCAACCCCTAGGCCCTACCCCAGCCTGGTGTTTGGGAGAGCGTGTTCAGACTACCTGGGGCCAGCTCCCATCTGTGAAGATGATTGTGGCAGCCTACTACAGCCCACCCCACTGACCTCTGCCATGGCCTCTGCGGGAGCCTGCCCCACCCCACCCTGAGCTCTGCCCATGGCCTCTGCTGGAGCCTGCCCCCCTCCAGCTCTGCCCATGGCCTCTGTGGGAGCCTGCCCCATCCCACCCTGAGCTCTGCCCATGGCCTCTGCTGGAGCCTGCCCCCCTCCAGCTCTGCCCATGGCCTCTGCGGGAGCCTGCTCCCCACCCCCAGGAGCTCTGCCCTGGGGCCGAGCTTGCAGACTCTAGCTCCTCTAGAGGCCTCAACTCCTGCAGCCTCTGGGTGCTGGGACACAGAGCAGCTAATGGGGTGTGGCCTGTCCCGTCTCCACTCCATTCTGACCATCACTAGGTCCAACCACAGCCAGTGGCCCACTCTACTGAGACTAGACCCTGCTCTTTGGAGTCATGGAGACCACTGGGTCTCTGAGTGCCCCAGCTCTTCAGAGTCCCTTGAACACTGTTCCTAGTGGACCCACAGTGGGTATCTGAGCCTTGGAGACAGCATGGGGACCGGCCAGCAATAGAGCTGGGACCAGGAGTTTATAGAATTCCTGTTGTCTGGTGGACCCAAGGAAGAGTCCACCGTGGTTACCACAGGCTGAGGGAGTGGGGTACACCTAGTGCCTGCATGAGAAAAACACCTGTGTGACCCCCAAAGTGAAACCAAACTGGGGTCCACCTTCCACTGGACTCTCTGGGACTTTCACAGGTCTGCCTCTGGGAAGGGGCAGGTACTAAGGACACTGGAGCTCCTGGGCTGTTGCAGGAGACGCTGTCTTTCCTTCTAGTTGGCTGAATTGTCCAGGTTCTCACGTCCTTGTCCTTGGGTGTGGGTTCAGGATACGGTGACCAGGGGACCAGTTCTCAGTCTTAGCAGCTGACACTAGGTTCTGGTCCCAGCAGTGGCCCTGCCCTCACATTCATAGTTACCATACTTCTGCCCATGTTTGGAGTCCACTTTTGGAATAGAATAGCTACTGCGGCCCCTGAAGCTCTATACTCTTGGGTCTGAAAGTCTAGGAACTACAGGTGCCTGGACAGGGAGTTTGAGACCCATTATACAGAAGGAAGAGCTGAGGCCTCATGAGGAAAAGAGTGCTAGTGACTGGCAGTGCCTGTACCTCCCACTGTTTTTCAAGAGCTTTGGGGGTCCTCAGGAAGGGTTCGGGGAGGGTCCTGATCTCATGTGGGGTCATGGTCCTGATCTCATGTGGGGTCATCCACCTGATGCCCTAGGTCCTTTCAATCCCAGCCGTCATCTGATTGTTGTCTTTCCCCAGGCCCTGTGTCTTGCTTCTGTTGCTGGCCAGGGAAAGCCTGTGAGGGGCACCTCATCTCAGGCCCACGCATCCCCCTTGAGGCTGGGCAGGGGCCCACTGCCAACACCACCACTCCGCAGCCTGGCGGTGCCTGCCCTCATGGCTCAGGCTGCGGAGGAGGTAGGCCTCCTGAGCGGTGCCCACCACCCTCTGAGCACGGGGCCTCTTCCTGTGTGATCTTCCCGGGGTCATGTGAGGAGACAGAAGAGCTGGTTCCCGAGCTCCTTAAGTCACACCCACCCACCCACCGAGCAAGTAGCAGGAAGCAAGGTGGGGGTGTTGTGGGCTGAGCTGTGTCCCCTAAAAAAGAATTCTTGCAGTCTCCTGCACCTCAAAATATGACCATTTTTGGAGATAACCAGGTTGAAAGGAGGCCTCTGAACTAGGTCCTAATCCCATGTGACTGTGATCTTTACAGGAGGCGGCAGGGAAATTCAGAGGCAGGTATGGCCTGGGAGCACATGGGTGTGGGGCAGGGAGCCGGAGAACAGGAATGGCAGAGGCTGCAAGATCCAGCAGAGCCCACAGCTAGGAACCCAGGGCATCGAGCTTGCGGCAGGGTCTCCCACTGAAATTCCAGCCTGCAGAACTGATTAATCTGAGGCTGAGGTGCTCAGCTGTGGCTAGGTAGCAAACTAAAATAGGGGGAGTGTAGAGGACCAGCCCCTACACACAACACACACACACACACACACACACACACACACACACACACACACACACACATTTACCCCAGGAATCTTGAGGATTGAGGGATAAGAGACTTAGTTAGAAATAAGGAGTGGAGAGAAACAGAGAGAAAACACAGCATAAACTCGGGTGGGCCTGAATCCTTATTCACCAGCCCAGAGCTTTATGCCAAAGGGCTTTTTATAACAATGCCAAGGGGTGGAGCAAAGACCTCCCCCTTGCTAGTTACAGTCACCTGGTACACAGGCCCATGGTCCAATCAACCTCTTATGCAGTCCTGCTGGGTACAGCCACTAGGAAACCTAGTGGCTCCAACAGGGGAGCAAGGATCAGACCCCCACGTGGCAGCTTCTGGACCCCAGATGATCCTGACTTCAAAGGGAACTTTCTCTTCTTGTGTGGCCCCTCTTGCAGCCCCAGGAAGCATGTGATAATTAGATTCATGTGTAACCACGTGATGATGATAAGGAGAGTCCTCCATTTGTACAGCTGAGGCCCAGAGAAATACAAGTGACTTGCCCAAGGTCACACAGGGAATATGGAGCCAGGATTTCAGACCCCCCATTCACACTCTCCTTCTCTGCCGTAAACACTCCTGGAATTAAGGACAGCTAGGAATGAAAGTGGAAGACAAAACTTGTTGGAAGATTTGGGCCCTGAGTGCTGGGCCTTTGCCAATCAGATGGCATAGCCTGGCCAACTGCTAGCCCACCCAGCCCCTGGCCCAACTGCTAGCCCACCCAGCCCCTGGCCCAACTGCTAGCCCACCCAGCCCCTGGCCAACTGCTAGCCCACCCAGCCAAGCCTTTGCCTGGTAGAATACTGTGGTAAGTTTGGTCCATAGTCTGTGAACCACATGCCACAGGGCTCTATGAACTGCTGTGCACATTCTATGCCACATCCTTTGGACATGTTCAGAACCGGGACAGTTCGTAGGTGGTCCTTGGCCAGCCACTTCTCCCATCCCTTCCAGCCACATCAGCAGGTCAGCCTAAGCGGAGGCTGTGGCCTCTGTGTGGACCCCATCCCTGCCTTACAGCACTGGATCACCAGGCCTCCCTTGCTGGTATCTGGGTCCTGCTCTGTGTGCACACTGCTGGAAGAAAGCTCCTATGTGATGTGTCCATGGGAGTGTGCACGCACACCTCAGTGCGGGTCTGTGCACGCCTGCATTTGCCCCAAGAGACCAAAAGGAAAAGGCTGCCGGGAGGAGGCAGCAGCTGGGTTGGGACTGGAGTTGGGGGTGGGGGCGGGGATGTCAGGGCCTAAGGCGACTGAGCCCTTGATCTGGCTCCTGTCCCACATCCCACAGTAACCCCCTCACCAACTCTGCTTGTCATCTGGGACAGGCATTACTTCTCTCTTCCCACCTTTACGTGGGTTCCAGCGATGGAACTCACGTTGCCAGGCTTGTCCAAGTGCTGTCCCTCCTGAGCCATCTCATCAGATGCTGAGCAGCGGGTATCCAGGAGACGAAACGTTCCATCTTGGAGAGACCCTCATGAAGACTCAGGAAGTAGGCCTGGAGAGATGGCTCATCTGTTAAGGGTGCTGGCTGCTCTTCCAGAGGTCCTGAGTTCAATTCCCAGCAACCACATGGTGGCTCACAACCGTCCATAATGAGATCTGGTGCCCTCTTCTGGCATGCAGGCAGAACACTGTATACATTATTTAAAAAAAAAAAAAAGAATCCGGAAGTAAACAACTCAAAAAGCTTCAGGAAGTCCCTGAAACAAATGTGCTCGGACCCCTCTCCCCAAGCTTATATATGCAGTAAGGACTGCTGAAGGACACCCTCAGACTGGCCCTTGGAAGAGACATTCCCCAAACTCTCAGTTGAGTAACCTGTGAGCTGTGCAATGAGATGCAGGTTTCCAGCTTTCAAGAGCCATGACCAGGGCTGGGGTGGGTTTCCGGTGACACAGATGCCTTTGAGTCGCCTCTGCTCTTGAGAATCTCCCCTCACTCATATACCTGAAAGGACCCCAGTAAACTCGATGCTTTCCCTAAACTGGACTTGGGTGGTGTCTTAGTTAAGGCTTCCATAGCTGCAATGAAACAAGAGGGGAGGGAAGGGTTTATTTGGCTTACACTTCCGCATTGCTGTGCATCCCTTAGGGAGTCAGGGCAGGGACTCAAACAGGGCAGGATCCTGGAGGCAGGAGCTGAGGCAGAGGCCATGGAGGGGAGCTGCTTACTGGCTTGCTTCCCAAGGCTTGCTCAGCCTGCTTTCTTATAGAACCAGGACCAGCAGCCCAGGGATGGCACCCCCTACCATGAGCTGGGCCCTCCCCCATTGGTCACTAATTGAGAAAATGCCTTACAGCTGGCTCTCATGAAGGCATTTCACTGAGGCTCCTTCCTCTCTGATGACTGACTCTAACCTGTGTCAAGTTGACAAACAAAACCAGCCAATACAGGTGGAATCCTTACTGGGTCCTCAGTTCCCTATCTTGAGTGAGCAGATGTTTGCTGTGCGTCTGCTGGAACTGCTTCATAACCCAGCCTGGGGCGGAGATCATTTACAAACCCCCACCCCACCTCCTCTCCTCTGGCCTTTATACACACTGCTTGCTCTTCCCAAAGTGCCCTGTGTTCCAGCTTTCCTCCTGGAAAATGCCCACTCAGCTCTCAGGGAGGGGTCAGAGGTTCAGAATCCCCTTCTGCAGTCCAAAGTTTCTCTGGTCCCACCCAGCCCTGCAGCCGCTCAGACCCAAGTAAACACACAGAGGCTTATATTACTTACAAACTTATGGCCATGGCCTATAGCTCCAGCTTCTTGCTAGCTAGCTCTTATAACTAAACTCAGCCCATTTCTATTAATATATATGTCGCCACGTGTTCTGTGGCTTGTCCTGTATGCCATTACATGCTGCTCCCTGGACAGCAGGATGACATTGCCTCTGCCTTTCTTCTCTCTGTATATCTGCTTGGATTTCTCACTTGCCTCTAAGCTGCCTTGCCATAGGCCAATACAGCTTTATTTATCAACCAATCATAGCAATACATACTCACAGCATACAGAAAGACATCCCACAGCACCCTTCTTTGGAGAGGCCCTTGCTATCTATTGCCCTGCTCCTGGTTTGTCTCTCCTCGCTGGCACACTAAATTGTAGTCACTTATTTCTTGACCTGTATGCCCTCAAGCCATACACTTTGTGTGTGTGTGTGTGTGTGTGTGTGTGTGTGTGTGTGTGTGTATGTATCCCACACACACCTAGTACCAGTAGTCAGCTCCTTCCTCATGATGCAACCTGGGAGGTGATTCCTGCTCCTCTAGCTCTCTCCTGAGGGACACTGATACCTCCCAGAAACTGGGGTATGTTGATAGAATTGAGGCATTCTGGACTCAGTGTGGGCCTTAGGTCACTCCGCCCATCCCTTTATTCTTTCAGAAATCGATGTACTCACTGTCTTGTTAGCTGGGCAGTAAGGTCTCCTTCATGTCTTCCTGCACACCCCGAAGCCCTCTGTCCTGACCCTCTAGTTCTCACACATCCTGAATGGAACAGCTGTCTGTCTTCTTTCTCAGCCCTCCTCCCCTGCCTCTGGGTGCAGCCATGAGTAATGGAGATAGGACTTCCCATCTCCTCAGTTCTTTGAGACAAGATCTCCTGTAGCCCAGGCTGGCCTCAAACTCATTGTGTAGTTGAGGATAACCTTGAACTCCTGACCCTCTGCCTCCACCTTCTAAGTACGAGGATTACAGGAGTCTGACATCATGCCCAACTGAGATAAAGCTTCTTAAAACTAAAATTTTCCCCAAGTGCCCCATAAAAGAGCCAAGATGTGACCAACAGGAACACAGATACACAAGAAAGGCGTTGGACTTGGGCCCTATGACTCAGGGTTATGACCATTCTTACCAGCCAGTGACTGGCCAAGCTCTTGCCAATGGAGCCATCTCACTCTGTGAGATCAGGGAACCCCTCCCAGCCCAACCTGCACAGGCCTCCAGGTCACAGTGAGCAGCAGAGCAGCCAGCAGCACTGACTTCTCCTCCCCAAGCAGCTGGGTACACTCTGTCTTCACGGCCTGAGCGTGGTCCTCCTCTAACACCCGGCTCTCCCTGCAGCTGCTGCAGCTGCTCCAAGAGGCCCTTCTGTGGCTCTGGCCCAGCTCTTTTGAGTCTCTTGTTTACTTAAGAACCCAGAACACCCAGAGTGGAGGCTCAACCTCTGCAGGGGTTGTGGGGCCCAGGCTAGGCCTGAAGGGTTTGCCCATGTAGTCCCCTCCTCCCTGAACCCTCAAACTGCTCTTTCTTGCTTGGGAACCTTTTTTTTTTTTTTTAATTTGTTATGTACACAGTGCTTTGCCTGCATGTATGCCTGTGCACCAGAAGAGGGCACCAGATCTCATTATGGATGGCTGTGAGCTACCACATGGTTGCTAGAAATTGAGCTCAGGACCACTGAGCCATCTCTCCAGTCCAAAGTAACGTGTTCTTAGCCACAGAGCCATCTTGTGTGTGTGTGTGTGTGTGTGTGTGTGTGTGTGTGTGTGTGTGTGTGTGTGTGTGTGTGTGTGTGTGTGTGTGTCCA